TTTTTCAGTCGATTTAAAATCACGAGAAACATATTTATTAGGGATAACCGATCAGAAACTTATTCCAGTCTATTCACCAACATGTGCCGTGACGTCTTTGGCCAGCAGTTCGATTCAGACTATATAAGTAAAGCAGTCCGTTCTACACTTGACTACTACGGTGGCGCTTACGGATACAAGGTAACTGGGGGCATTCTATGACAGTAAGAAAAACTGGTCGCCTAGCTCGATCCTATGCCCCTCCGCTGCCGTCTCAAGTGCGACCCCTTCAACCTTAGCGTCAAGTTTCACCAAATCCATCCCCTATTCTTTCACCTCCAAGTCCCCTGAAAACTCGAGGGTGGCTCTCAGAATTCTCACAACTTGGTTGAACCAAATTCTTCTCAGCTGATCAGATAAGACCCCGACTCCGATATGAATCCTTCCCCTAAACGAAGCGAGTGAAATCTCCCTCTGTGAGCTTCTGGTCCACATCCAATGCCCGGGCCCTGGGGATGAACCTATGGCGTTTTGTCATTGCTCCATTTACCTGTTTAGGTAAGGACATGGTCTAGGAAATGGTACAAGTACAGTTTCCTATTCCGAGAACCCTTTGTCCACGCCATGGCCCGGTATCTTAGGTATAAAACCCTACCGCAATGGCATGGTTCTATTTACCTATTCAGATAAGGACATAGTCCAGCCACGATCACCAAATCAAGTACACCAACGTTGTGGGAGGTCCACCAGGAGGATGTGCTTGTCATAGTGCATAATTTCCAGACTTTTTCTCACAAGCGCTATGTACACCTCCCCCCCCCCTCTCCCCCGCACCTACCTGGTTTAGCGGAGCGGCAAAACCACTTCTTCTCATAGATCAACAAAGTGCTCTAACACCTTCCACTAGTGATCGTTTTGTGATTCCATCTGTTAAGGGCACGAATGTGGTGATACCGAACGGCTCACTCGATCCGTGGCATGCACTCGGCAAGTACACCTCGACTGATCCGTCCGTTGTGTGGTATCTCGTTAAAGGTTAGCTATTCTCATTTTACTTTGAATTTTTGTGATGCAAGTAGAGCCTTGTTCGTTGAGGATGCTGGAGCGTGTCGGGAGGGTGGGATTGCGTTTGAACGCCGCGGCCGACTTTGTTAGAGGGCCATCCCCGTTATTCCCTGGTTTCGGACATATCTTTTTCTTGATCGTGACATATCGTCGCTGATCAGTCGTTTTCCAGCCACTGGTTGCTGTCGCATAGCACCTTTCAAAGCATTGGCAAGAGGAGCGACTGGCGGGGGCGCAAGTCCCCAGCCCTTTGGCACGCCCCATCATCATGCAGAGAACAAAACTGTACGAATCTTTTACGGCGGCTCGATTTGGAGGGTATTAGCGCGGTGGTAAAGGCAGTGGTTAAGCTTGTTAGAGGACGCGCAGCAGCGCCAGCGTTATTCGTGGAAGGCCTTTTACCATGTCGTTGACGTTCCGTGTGCTAGTAAGCACACTACCCCGCCCCTTAAACTCGTTGTTTCCGAATAGAAATGCTAAGGCCTACGGATTTGACAACATATTACTTTTCACCCAAAAGATTTTCCTACGGAAGAGTACAACTGTATTCCAGGAACTGCCCACTGTGCCGACATGTACCCTCCGAGAGCTCAAGATCCACCTGGTCTGGCAGTGGTTCGCAAGCTCATTCCGCAGAATATCGACAACTGGATTACAAAGACTCCTAGCCCATTCGCTACAGGTAGTTTTTCGCTGAGCTCAAACCTTTTGCCTTCTGCAAGAAACATGGAGGTATCTCAGTACCAACGGAGGCTGAAACATGGACCAAACCAGAAGTGAGCCATCCGCTAGAAGGGATCGCTAGTGCTTTCAAGCCAGCTGAAGATGTTGAAGTAGAGGTGGTGAGTTATGAAGCTACAATTACGCCGATTAGATATTGTTACCGTTCCGATTTCAGGAATACCCCGAGTGGACCAGATATCGAAAAGTGCATTTGGGCAGACCTCCGCACGGATTACTTCCACCACCAGACATGGCTGTAAGTGGGGCTGTAAGCGCCAAAAATGAACAGTGCACGGCGATGGACGATTTTCAGAACTCATTGATCGTCCTGTGTGTGTGGCCGCTACGCGACCGCATCGCGCTGAGCTTCGCAACTGCAGCCTTATGAACAAATCCGTTTCAGGAACTAGCCGATTCGCCGACTAACTATGAGACCGGATACTTCACACAGCCCGTGGACCACTTCGACAGTCAGAATCCAAACACCTTCGAGCAGGTATCTCTCACGCGGCGTTTATACTACGCAAGCTGGGATTCTTGGCTGCGCTGCTTGGCATTCTGACATAGCGCTAATCACAGGGATGAGCAGAGCAAGTCATTCCTGGGCGGGAAAAATGTGAATGGAGATGCTCACCATCAGGATAAATTGAATGACTCTCTGCTGCAATCGGTAACCATTTTTATATGCCAAAAATGAACGCGAGGAAACCGCCGATTTCCCAGGAAACAACGCCGCTTAAAGGCGCATTCCACAATGATCGCGTGGGCGGAGCCACATTGGTCACTGCGTTTTCCTCACTTAGTGCGCCCCACCCCTTCGTGCGCCTCGCCCTTTCGTCATTTCATAAGGAGAGACCAGTCAACAAGAAGAATGCTTTTGCACAACTACTGTCTAAAATGGTACTCAAAATGAGCATTTCGTTGCGCGTCCGCGTATATGGAGTGACTCACCCGTGCGAATTCGCCTCCGAAATTACGCTTCCTGGCGGTAACGGAAAAAAACTTAATAGCGGTAACGTTGATTTATTTACAGCGCTACTTCAAAAACGCTCAATGGGCTCAACCAGGTGGACCGATGTTCCTAATGATTGGTGGCGAAGGACCTGAGTCATCTAGATGGGTTCTCAACGAGAAGCATCAACCTATTACATGGGCGAAAAAATTCGGAAGCGACCGCTATACCTTCTGCGAACTCCGATACTGTTACGGAGAAAGTTGTATTGTCTTTATATGGGTGTGAGTCACACTGTTTGGTCCAAATTTGACTGCCCCTGCGATCCCTGCTATTTTTAGCCTAATGGGAGAGCTAATGAAGACCTCACATATCTATCCTCTATTCAAATGCTCTATGATGTGGCAAACTTTATTCGGACAGTTAACATGCTACAATCGACGCCAGCCACATGGATAACCTTTGGAGGATCTTTCGCTGGACGGGGGGGACATGATGAGAAGTTGGAAGCCAGACGCAGATGGTGGGGTCGGGCGGTTAACTGCCAGCGTCATAGGTGGAGGAGGAGCTGGGAGAGAATGTTTGGCCACACTCCATCCAGACCTTCGACCAGTCACGTCAGGAGCAACTGTCCGCCCTCAGCCGTCGTGTCAATTGCCTTTAGGTCTTCTTCGACTTCGCTTACACAACTGATTCAGGTGCACTTTCACTGTGGATGCGGGAATTATTCCCCGACATAGTTCATGGAGCTGTCGGTTCCTCGGCACCCGTTGAAGCAAAGTTGGACTTCTACGGTAAGATTTGGCTGTGTCTACACAAGAGAGAAACCCGCGACGCGCTGAGAATAACAGTGTACGGCATCTTTGGGAGAATCCCATTAGCGAGGGGGGGAGGGTTTACCCACTGGCTAGGGAGTTTAGAGCGCACTGGACACAGCGTCGTTGTGAAAATCCCATCGGTCGTCAGGAAAGGTCACTGGGAAGCTTGGTTGTATTTGGCCTTGAAAAATTCAAGTGTTAATTTTTTGCATTTCATGCGCGCTAAGTACAATGGTCAGAGTACCGCAATGGTGGAGGTTCTTATTCGGTAGTGCTGGTCAATGAAGGTCGTTTTATAAGAATGTTTCTGAACGCGACGAAATTTTCACGGTTGCTGACTTTTGCCTTTGATTTATCCCGTTTCACGTGTGTTATATGCGTCCGGATCACAGCAGCCTCGCACTGTTATGAGCTCTCTAACCTTTGGTCGTCTGGTCTCTCGTCCGTGTGTCCAGTGTATCTTCGCCACACGCACTCAGAACTGATCGCAATAAAAGTTTTGCTTCTTTTTGATGGTAACCAATTACCACCTATAGATTCAAATTTTAATCCCATTAACCGCACCCTGTTATTATGGACTGCGCCTCCGTATCTTCATCATGTCCTACTTTTCTAAGATAAGTTTAGGCTCTGTTC